ATATTATCATAAAAATTAATTATTTGTATATGTATTTATTTCTTAATCAAATCTTTTTATTTTTATAAATAAATTAGTTTTGCGTTTTTATTGTGTACACACAAATATAGGTTATAATTTCGATTAATAACTATTATTAAGTATCAATTAATTTAAAGAAAAATATATTAAAAATAATTTTATTATTATTAGATATTCTTATAATTATCATTAAATGTATTACATATTTTATTATACATACGCATGTTTGATAGAACTACAAAGTTTCACTATCAACTATGTATATATAGAAAACTAGTGTTGCTTGATATATACATGTAAACTAAGCATATAATCGATTACATGTCACATGCGTTTAAATTCAAAGGATAGGCAATTTCTCGTCAAAAATCAGTGATAATCATAAAAATTTGTAACTATAAATGGATGCAATAAAAAACATTTCATTTTTCTACGTTCTCCATTTTCAATGATGCGCCTGTCACTTTCTGACTTGAATTTATTATGTTGGCAATAAAAATACTTATAAAGTACAATGTATCGCGGCTATGTTTCACAAATACAACAAAATAGCGAAGCCTACTTTAAAAAGTTTAAGAAGAAAGCTTTTGCTACGTACATGTACTTTCATATAAGTAACGTACGCAAATGTACTCCTACATATCCAAACAACTTGCGTCGCATGTGTACACATATATGTACGTATGTTCGTACATATAAAATGTACATATAACAAATATATATATTTCAATATGAATAAGATAAAGGAAAAAGAAAGTGGATAAAAGGGAGAACGTATGGGACAAAGATAAAAAAAATCTATATCACAGGTGCATGTCGGTGCAATCATATATGTACAGTAATATATAATTATATGTATAGTTATGTATATGTATGTATATTAATTATTATTTATTGTGCACATAAGGGATATGTTTCCACGCTTTGTGTGCATCCTCTGTTTACAAAGGATACTTATCAAAAATCGAAGATGGTATACCACAATGAAAGCCAAATACGAAACCGAGCGAACAAAGAACGCTGGACAAATGCGTATATTGAATAGTGGGAAACGTGGAAAGGACAACACAAAAGGATATCTATGAGCAGGATATCACGGTGGGATGCAGGAAACTTTTTCAAGAGAAAAAAAAATTCAATCATTAGAGAAACGCATTTGAGAAATCTACGAAAAGCGATGGGAAATGTCGGAGAACAGCACACCGTCAAGGGATGAAATAAAAACAAGGGTTGAGCGAGCGAGAGAAATAGAGAGAGAGAGACAGCGCGCATCCAAATTTCGGAGGGAAAACTCCTACCTTTTACTGGGATAATCTGGGATTTTCAGAGCGATGTCATAGCAGAATACGTTGGTTGCGCTAGGCGAAACCGACGGTCGGCGATGGCCGTGCAGCTCACCACTGAGAACACTGAGGTCGCTCCATGTCTCTCACTCGACCCAAGCCACGACCCCGCCCATTATGGGCCTACTGATATTCTCTAGGCCGTATTTTAAACCATAAACCACTAAATGCGTTCATATGTTTAATCAATCTTCTTTCTAAACCACTAAAAATATTCTTTGATATTCCGCGTAGCGATATCTGCGTCGTAAAATTATCAGCGTTCTTGGTCACTGACGTCAAATGCTTTCACAAACTTCGCTTATTTCACCGTAAGTTAATGATGGCACCACTTGCTTGCCTTGAAATAGCCACATTGTTTTCCACCAATATCGATGGAGAAAAGACTTAAACAAATGAAAAGCATAATTTCTTCAAATGATATATATATTTTTATAAAAAACTTTTTTTCATTATATTTGATATCATCCTTTTTGAAATTATTTAATATATAATTGATAAATTATAGAAAGATACTAGAAATATAGTAATGTTGCATGTAAAAATAAAAATATATTATTTTGTATAAGCATATCATCAATGTGTACATTATTTATATACATACACATACTTCATAAAGGCCTTCACGATGGAAGAATGACGACGAATTGATTGTTTTTTTCCCACTATGTACTTTTTCAGTTCTTGCATCATATATTGTATATTATAAATATACAACTTATTTTAAATACATATTTCCATAAGCTACATTTATTTTTTATTTTTTAAGTTTATATATATATATATTATATATATATAATCATTAGATTTAAATTTTCTAACATAATTTTAATCTATTATAATTATTAAAATAAAAATAAATGAAAATTCTGAATTGAATCAATTTATGGAAAAATCACCTGAAATAGTAATTCTTGACCCCATACCATCATTATTCATTTTATTATATATATTTTTTTTCATCTTTAAAGATTTTTTTAAAGTATTCAAGCAGATTTTTATAATTTTTCCATTTATCTTTGATAAATGATTTGATAAACAAAGGAAAAAATAATAAGGAATATAAAATCTTTTCTTAAATTCTGTAATCACAAGATGTCGTGCTTCACTATTCAACCAATCAGCGTGTTTTACGTTCCGATCGTTATACACAACATTAGTTTATTCAATTATTTTATTATAAAATATGAAAAAAAATTATAATATTTAATTGTACAAAAATAATCAATATTTTTAATATATGAAAAATTTCTAAATTTTAATTTTATAAAGATTTTAAAGCAAATTTAATAAATTGCTCGAAAAAAGCCGAAGATACCCGAAAGAGATTCAACGTGATTGGATGGCAAAGATCACATGATCAGTGATGCTGTGAAATATTGGTTTAGGTTAACTGGTGGGGGATATTCATAATCCTTAAGTTTGGATTGTGTCTTCACAAAGACAAGAGACAGATTCGGAGGAGCATCGTGCTTACGAGCACATAATTTACGAGTTCGATCGCAGTATCTGGTTTCAGCGAGTGTTATGTGAGTTGGCGTAGTGGCGAAAAAGAGCTTAAAGTGACAGGAAAAATCGCATGAAGAGGCAGAAATTGACGGGCGCTGCTTGGCGGATAATAATATCAGTTTTTAAAATAGAATGAACATCGTTTAGTGCGCGTACATATACAGACACGTACGAGATATTGCTACAAAGTTAATTTCACGTTTTACGGACATATATGTACACGCGCGTGCGCGTTGCGAGGGTACGAATACATATAGTTTCGCTGTCGAACGGTGATATATTGTGAAAAATCCGTGTGGAGCAGCGAAAACAAACAACTCGTGTCCGCCATCTTGTGCCTCTCCAGCTACGTTGAAAGGAAAGTGTGAGAATTCGGACCGACGTGTGTGATTTTATTCGGTGAGAAAAAAGAGTGTAAGTAGAGGTGACCAACGGTCACCGAATGTGGTCAAAATTGCAAAAAACAAGAATAGGGAGGACTGCGAGAGAACTCAAAGAAAGCGAGACGAGGTAGCATTGCGCTCATAGGAGGTTCGTAGGGTACCCCACCAAGTTTATTCCTCCGCGTTCCCCCTACCCTTTTGCCCTGGATCCCGAGATTATTGCGCAGTTAGAAAATTCATTGAATACAAACATCGTCAAAAACTTCGTTGCATCTTTGGAAAGTGACCCGCGGACATTATACGGTAAGATTTTCGACAGGTTAAAAATTGATTATTTTTCCCCTCCACCTATATTTGCTTAATTTCGATATAATATAGAATGAAGTTTTGTTTTTGTTTTTTTCTTTTCTTTTATTTTTTTTTTTTTTTTCTTCATAAATATATTATTTTAAATGTTGTATTATATGAAAATAATGAAATTGATTTTTGAAATTTCTTGCGTTAAATATTGTTATTTTTATCATCGATTTGTTTGAGGTCAAATTTATGTATTAAATTTACTGATTAGTTTAACATGATGAAAAAAATATTTATTATTGTTTGGTAACGACATTCTGATATCCTTGATGACGTATAGTAAATTGAATTAAAATGAAATTAAATATTCCATTTTTTTTGAGATATTGCATCACAAGACAAAAACTATTAATTGACTTTGACAATTTTCAATTTAATTAATTATTTGTTTGAATGATAAAAAACAATTCATTTTTTCAGACGGGTTGGTTGACTTTGTGAGTGATAAGAGAGACAAAATTATTATAAAGCCATGACGAATTCGGTACCGAAATTGAAAAACAAGGTAGACCGGCAGGGTTCGCCAAATGTCGGCATTGATCGACATCATCACCGTTCGATAATTACACTCAAACAGCCGGCGTATGTCCACATGAGTGGGAGATCTCATGGCAGAAATTCAACCGGCAGATTAAGCTGCAGCCCACACGGTTCTTCAAAAGGTTCGAGAAATTCACCGTTGCGGTACGAATATAGTCCGCGCGGCAGTCCAACAATAGTTTTTATGCGGTGCAAAGTTTTCTGAACCGCCATCTCCTGCGAGCCTTCCGAAACCACCGAGCCATTGGACTACGAGACTGATGAGCAGTTGTCAGCAATCCGACAGGATTTGCGATATTTCAAATCATCTGAAGATGATGTTAAACGTCCAAGCCTGATATATAAAGACCAACAGACCGCTAAAAACGGTTACCAGCTCCTAAAAACAAAGAGACAGGTACGATATTATCGTCCCCCCCCCCTCTTGGATTTAAGGATGTATTTTTTTTCTTGTATGTGATGTCAAGCTATTCGTTTGAAACAAACAAAAAAAAAACAGAAGTGTTTATAACTGCGCGATACTACAATCTCTAAGAATGATACACAAGTAATATTGCAATTAGAACAGGGCACCAGCGTCTTCAGTTTCATGGTACAGATGCTGCGTGAAAAAAAACCACGATTCGTTCTTTAAACTACTATACAAAACATATAAACATTAAATATGAAAGACGCAGGTGCGTCTGCCGTGAACCATGATTCAAGTATATAATAACTTGTAACAATTCTATTATGCGCCGTCTATGAAGATATAAACGTATGTATTTTAGATTATTATTATATATGATTAACTTGCAGAGACGCATACATATACACAAATACACAAACACTGTTATATTATCTGTTTGACGAAATGGTACGAAGACATAGGCAAAGCTGCATTAGCTATTTTTAGGAACAATAGCTATATATTTTTTCTTTTTTCTTTTTTTTTTTTCTTTCTCTTTAAGCTCAAAATTGCTATATCTTAGCACTGTTGATTATGACAGTATATATGTTTTATTCTTTATTAATTATAATCCGGAATTCTTTCCAAAACAGTTATTTAAATCTTTATACCAGATATATACTAATTGCTTTTTTCTGATTGAAAGATACTTTATATGTACATCATAAGTGGTAAACTTTAAGTATTACACATATTCATCTACTGCTCTTTAGCATAAACCTAAGTATCAATTAAGTATAACTTTGACTAATGATTACTCTTGTATAATTTCTTGTCTCTCAGATTCAGTTAAGTCTTCAATAGGCTCAGAAATCTTCAATGGCAATAGGTTTTGTAGAATTCACATGTTCAGTGAATCTTTAAATCAAATTACCCTTGAAAAATCTATTATAACAAAATTTTTGGTTTTTATTTATCTTCTTTTGTTCTTGAAGATATCCTCAATTATTTTGCAGCTTTGCAATAATTCTGCAAAGCATTATATAAGATTTAAGTGATGAGTTTCCAGTGTGCATACAAATGAATCAATTTTTTTGAAAATTCGTATAATTCATGAATGAGAGAATGGTAAGATTGTATGAATGAATAATGAAGAAAATGATTTGGTACATATGATGATGGATGTTTTACTATTTTTCTTTTTTTTTTTTTTCCTTAAAAAAATTCATAATTAAGCAATATTTCTGCTTAAATTAACAAAATTTTTAGAAGATTCTCTATAAATGACAAATTTAATTTTTATCTAATATAAGAAATCCAATTAGAGGCTTGTCATTAGGATTTCATTATAAAATGATTTTACTTATCTTTAGAATTGAATAATGTTTAATTATTTGATATTGAATGAAATTGTGAGTTCACAAAATTTTTTGGTTCAATTCTAAATATATGTGTTCCAAGAAAACATTTCAAAAATGAAATTTTTTCTGATTTTATATCGTTGTAAATGAATTTTTTTTTCTAACATTGCATATGTTATATTATAAAAGTAATAACAATAATTTTTAATTTTTTGCATTTTCTTTTTTCTGTTTATCTTCTCTCTCTCTCTCT